GATGAAAAATGCAAAGTCCCAGCCTGCAGGAGCTGATGGTCTGGTGGGGCAACCCATTTCAAGCCCCAAACCAAACCAGTTGCCATGGAGTTGATTCCAACTCGTGGTGACCTGATATGTGTCAGAGCAGAACTATGCTCCAGAGGGTTTTCAATGGCTGTTTGTTTGGAAGTAGATCACCAGGTTTTCCTTCCATGGTACCTCTGGATGTAATTGAACCTCCAATCTTTTCATTTAATAGCCAAGTGTGTGAACTGTTTGCACTGCCCAGAGATTCTGGGGAGATCCACAGATGCAAATAATTTCAATGTAATGTGGTGGGAATGGCAGCAAAGGTTTCTGCAGGGTGCTGTGGGAGCACTTAGAAGGAGCCCAGCTAGCTCATGGGGAGAAGTTCAACGAGGCTTTTCTAAAGGAAATGGCTGATCTAAATCCTAAAGGAGAGCTAGCCAGGCAATGAAGAAGAGGAGGGTAATCCTGGCAGATGAAACTATATGAGCAAAAGGATAGAGGCCTGCTATAGGACGGATAAAACAACAAAAAAACCAAACCAGTTGCTGTCGAGTTGATTCCTACTCATGGCTACCCCACATGTGTACAGTAGAAGTGCTCCATAGGGTTTTTCAAAGCTGTGATCTTTTAGACTGCCAGGCGTTTCTTCCTAGGTACTTCTGGATGGGTTCAAATCACCAACCTTTTAGTTAATAATTGAGTATTTAACCATCTGCGCCATCCAGGAACTACAGTACAGGTAGGTGGGAATATAAGCAGTCTGGTGTTACCAGTGTGTAAGGAGGGAGACAGGAGCAGGAGAGGTGGCTGGTAAGGTGGGCAGGGGCAAAGTCATGGAAAGACTTGTGTGCTATTTCAAATTTTTTCTGTCAACTCATTACTAACATGTTATCTCTCACTGATAACAGTCCAGTGGCCCAATGCTAATGAGTCAGCTTCAGGTGCTCTCGCCAAATGTGGCAGGCCCCTAAATACATGCTTTTTTAGGTAAAGCTTCTTCAGCATGTTAACAATGACTTCTACCAATAAGGTTCTTTTTCTATTATTTGGTGAAACTACACTAGTCCTTTAAAGCCTCTCCTAAATTCATAAAAGGAGTAATTCTATTTAATCAATTCAAATAAAGCTTCAGGGCTTCTTGTGATTGGAACTCAATACTTTTAAAAATGGCCCACAACTATTTTCAGTGTTCGGAAAATATTAAAATGAAGTTAATAATTAAGTCATACAATTTACATTTCAAATGTGTTGAACTCATGGCACACTTTTACTAACATCGTAAATATAATTTATTGGCTAATTTTCTCCTTAAGCACAACTTTTAAAAAAACTTTCATTCTTGAGATATAGACTTTCCTCTTGCCAGATGATTTTCACTCAAGGATTAAACGAGAAAAACACGCAGAGGCATAAAACATAGATTGTTATTTCATTCCGTTGGATTTGCTTGAGTTAATTAAATTTTGTAGAAAAAAGGGATTCCTAGGCCATAATATTAAAAATAATTCTAATAACCATATGTGATTGGGAATCTGGAATACTATCTACTTCCACAGCCCCCTCGCCATGTTAACCCTAGTTCTTTTATTTGTAACCTAATAAACCATGTCCCTTCTGATAATATTGTTCTAATTAATCACTTTAAAGTCCTCAAGAGAATAAAACTAACAATTCAGACTTGTAAAATACTTTATAGTCTACAGTACACTTACAAATACATTGTCATCATGTCTGACACCCACAGAGCCCATGAGGATGGCGGCACAGGCATTACTGTTACTGTCTTTACTTTATAGATGAGTTAACTGAGGTTGAGTGGTTAAGTGACTTGCCAATGATTGGTCAGCTCAAAGAAGCTGGGACTTGACCCAGAGGCCAACCAGCATCTTTACAAAATCTCAGACTTCCTAAGTGGTGGAAGTCCTCTAACCAGAGGCAAAGGATTCTGAGAGGGTGGCCATGATGCATGTCCATCCAAAAAAGGTCAACTGGATGTCAGCTCAAGACGCCTACTCACCCAAGAGTAAAGCCTTTCAGTACTGACATTTTAAACGTCTTCAGATAGAGAGAGATGTAGCTGTAGGTGGCACATTTTGTTCTGTCTTTAGATCCCTGGGTATTTTCTAGGTGGAAGCAAAGGGGCACTGGAAGCTGCCCACACCAGGGAAGGTGACGAAAAGTAGCTTAGAGGTTGATGGGGAAACACTTCAGCATCACCATCACGCCTGCCCCCTCCTCCCCAGCCATTTTCTGATATGAACAATCGATAGTTGCCAAAAATATCTGGAATGCTGCACAATTGCTGTTTCACGCTTAGTCCCTTAGTCCTTCTTTCAACTAGCCTGTTGCCCCTAGGCCCCTCCTAAGGAGAAATTCTGAATGTCTCATTGACATAGGCTGAGATGTCACTGGGTGACCCCCAGAATATATTCTCACAGACTCACTCGCTCTGTTTTGGCATCAGGAGTGCCCTGGTGCCCTTCATTCAGAAAATGTACAGAGCC